AGCTTGAACTTGCTTTTCCCTCCTCAGCCACCTGATGGTTTGCCAGAATCTCCTCAAAGCCGACCGAGAGTCAATCCAAGGACTCACCAAACTCCTCCCACATCAAAGCTTTTGACTCAGCAACAGCCAAGGCTGTGGACAGCTTGGCCCTCTGGTACTCCTCAACTGCCTCCAGAATCCCACCAGCCAACAAGCCCCAATAAGACTTCTTCAGCTTTGCAGCCTCCTTAACCTGGGGTTTCCACCATGGAGTTTGAGGATGACCACCATGAGAAGCACTGACAACCTTGCGGCCACAGTTCAAGGTAGCCACCTCAACAAGCAAGGCAAGAAACATGGCCCACTCAGACTCAATGTCCACCGCCTCAGCTGGGATGTGGTTAAAGCTCTCCCAGAGGTGTTAGTTGAAGATATTACAGACAGGTTCTTCAGTCAGGCATTCCCAGGAAACCCTGCTCGTTTGGGTCTACTGGGTCTGTCCACCATCATCCCCCACCATTTGACCCAACAAACTACCAAGTGGTGATCAGTTGACAGCTCAGCTCCTCTCTTCACCTTAGTGCCCCAAAAAACATCCACAAATCAAATTACATGACTACAAAGTCAATCATCAATTTATGACCTAGGGTGTCCTAGTGTCAAGTGTACTTATGGACACCCTTCAAGCATGGTGTTTGTCATGGACAAACTATTACTAGCACAGAAGTCCAAAAACAGAACACTGTTCAGGTTCAGATCAGAGATGCTGTTCCTTCCAATCACGCTCCTCCAGGTCACACTGTCATTACCCATGTGGTCATTGAATTCCCCCAGCAGAATAAAGGAGTCCCCAGCAGGTACACCTTCCAACACCCATGCCAAGGATTCCAAGAAGGCCGGATACTCTGAACTGCCGTTTGGTGCATAGGCACCAACAACTGTCAGAACCCATCCCCCCCACCTGAAGGCACAGGGAAGCCACCCTTTCATCTACCAGGGAAAACTCCAACACACAGGCACAAAGTCAGGAGACTAAAAGTAGACCCAAACCAACTCGGCGCCTCTCACCATGGGCAACTCCAGAATGTAATAAGGTCCAGCACCCCTCAAATAAATGCTGTGCTACTAATGCTGTGCATTGAGATGACCCCTACTATAATATCTAGTCGGTGCCTCTCAAGCTCACACACAAGCTCAGCCGCTGCCCCTGACACACACACACATACACACACACACATACACAAAAGGTTATGTTCCATGTCCCAAGAGCCAGCTTTGATAAGCCAAGTTCAGAGCACCAAGGCTGCCTCCGGCCACTGCCCATGGCATCATGCACCCTACTCGAATGACCCCTTCTGCATAAGGTGGGTCCACAGGAAGGCAAACCCACAGTGCTTGTTCGAGTTGAGCATTCAAGCTTGCAGACAAGTCCCACTTCCAGGCTTGGCTCCAGGGTCAGGCCCTGGTAACCCACATCTGGGCAAGCGACACTGAGCTCCTACCTGATTTCTGTCCATTTGAGTCTTTGAGTCACTCTTTGTCTGGCTTGGCACCTAGAACCACTCTACCTTTGGAGCCCTCACCAGGGGAAATTACAGTTACAAAGGCCATGGTATAATTGTATTTATTTAGTTATTGTTCTTAAAGATGAACTTTCATTCAGTCTAAATTACATGGAATAGATTTCACTGGAAAAAATGATCATGAGTTTAGCACAATTATTCATTTGAGGCTAACTGCTCCTTCCCAATTAATAAACAGTCCAAAAGAACAATGTTTTATTCTGTTGTTGTTTTGATTTGGTTGTTTTTCTGAACAGTTGATTTTTTTCTGGCTGCTTCCACATTTTATGAGATGGACATCTTTAAAATCAGACAGTCCAAGACATGGTGAGGAGTTTTGATCTGAGATTATCATTTGTCTTTTTTACTACTCTAATTTTATTGGTTTGATTCTCTGCCCATAATGGAGGCTTGGAAAACTTTTAGTGAAGTCAAACTCTTCTTTTATTTTTAACTGGACACAATTGGCAGATGACATGGTGGTGCAGGGGTTAGAGGTGTCACTTCACAGCAAGAGGGTCAAGTTCCAAACCAGTCCACAGTTTTTCTGTTGTGAGTTTGCATGTTCTTCCCATGCATGTGTGGTTTTCTCTGGATAGTTCATTTTCCTCGTACAGTCATGCAGGATAATTGATACCTCTGAACTGTCACCAGGTATACATGAGGATGTGAATGGGTGTCTGTCTCATTTGACTTTGTGTGACCCTGTGATGGACCGATGAACTGTCTGGGTTATATCCTCCCATTGACCTCCAGAGATAAGTGCCAGCTCCCTGAGATCTTGGAGGGAAGAGTGGGTAAAGAAAATGAGTAAATGTGTTAGGTGCCAAAGTAGTTTTGTTTAATATATATATATATATATATATATATATATATATATATATATATATATATGTGTAACCCAGTGTGACTTAGCTGTTTAAATAAAGGTTGAAATGAATTGAACCTCCATAAGTAAACACTTGATTCAATAATTGTTTTAGAGTTAATGGCACAAGAAGAAGTAGTGCTAAGCTAGAGGTGTGCAATACAGAAGTGTTAGCTAAGATGCTATAGATGTAGTGCTCTGCTTTACATTACACAACCTAATAAATGCTTTGTACAAAATCAGTTTAGTGTTAACTATCATGACAAACAAAGACTAAACTTGTGCAACCTGAAGTTGTAACATAGCTATATCTACACTGTTCAGGTTCAGATCAGAGATGCTGTTCCTTCCAATCACGCTCCTCCAGGTCACACTGTCAGTTGACAGCTCAGCTCCTCTCTTCACCTTAGTGCCCCAAAAAACATCCACAAATCAAATTACATGACTACAAAGTCAATCATCAATTTATGACCTAGGGTGTTCTAGTGCCAAGTGTACTTATGGACACCCTTACGTTCCATTATGTTCTGTTGTCTGCTTTGAGCTATATCAAAGCAGACAAAACAAAGCACAACTAGTTTTAAGCATAAACCTTTAAGTTAACCATTAAGCATACCTGCAATTACCTTCGTACAGATGATCATGTGGTACTTCCTGTTAATCACTGTTGTATTCAGCTGCTCATGAGGTCGGCTGCAGGGCTTTATTCAACTTTTACATTTTTCCAGACTCAATTTAGGTTTTGGAAATGGAACGAACTGTTTTACATCCTCTAAAACAGGGCTATTCAACTAAACTGCTCAGGGGGGCTGAAAGCCAGCAGCTCAGGGGCCGGACATCCAGCAAATAAAGTCATTATGTAAATAAACCAAGTATTACAATGATCTGTTACCTTTTTAATTTTTTTTATTTTGTTGCATTGAATCATAAATGCAATAAATAGAACCCCCCCCCCCCCCAAAAAAAAAATATATATATATATTTTTTTTTTTTTTTCAGGGGTGCTGAGTTAAAATTATGGAGTGCTTGAGCACCCCCCAAAAGAGGCTAAAACTGCCACTAGTTCCCGTGTCTGCCTGGATCTGGTTCCAACCACACTGACCAGTTAGTATTCAACTTGTGTCATGGCTTGTTTCTTTTCTCTTCTGCATTTTTGTTGTTGTTGTTTGTTTGTTTGTTTGTTTCCTTTCCATTTTAGCATTTAACTGTGTGATGTCTGTGTAAATTCTGAATCATGGGCAGCATGTTGTGGCAGTATTGTGGTGTGTTCCAAGCTGGACTGTTGTATCACACTTGCTAAGAAGTTATTAAATCTCTGTTTTCCTGTGAAGCACGGTGGGGCAACTGGTAGAGCTGCTGCCTCTCAGCGAGCAGGTCCTTGGTTCAAACCCCGGTCCAGGGGCCTTTCTGGGTGGAGTTTGCATGTTCTCTCCGTGCATGCGTGGGTTTTCTCCGGGTACTCCGGTTTCCTCCCAAAGACCAAAAACATGCACGTTAGGCTGATTGGTAACTCTAAATTGTCCCTAGGTGTGAGTGAGAGAGTGAATGGTTGTTTGTCTCGTTTGTCTCTATGTGTCCCTGTGATGGACTTGCGACCCATCCAGGGTGTACCCCGCCCCTCGCACAGTGATTGCTGGACATGGGCACCAGCGACCCCTGTGACCCAAAATGGATTAAGCGAGTAAAGATAATGGATGGATGGATGGATGTTTTCCTGTGAAAGATAAACCCACATGTAAAACTATTCAAAATGGCTTTAGAGGGCATTCAAATTAACCTAACAGTTTCAGAAGGCCCGTCATGATGGTAATGGGGTGCAACAAACGTCAGAAGCCAACCTGTCCACAATAAAGTAAATAAAGAGTCTGAACCACAATTTAAAACGAAATAGAAATAAAAACATTCTGCTGAGCTGAAAGTAAGCAAACTGGGACTGCACATTATAATGTGGTCATATGTGTTAAAGGCTTATAAAAAACTAAGAACACTACTAAGGTTTCATTGTGGGATGTTATAGGATGCACTAAACACTGGTTGCTTCAGTGAAACACATAAGTGGAAGTGAGTTATAATCAACTAATGTCTTCCAATCCACTAAGAGTTTACTTCCTGTGGACTTTTTCTATTCTTAGTAATATGGGGAAATCATTAGGAAACGTTAGAGGTATTTAAATGCTGCTCAGAAACAAAGAGGGCTTATCAAATCTGGGACACATTCACAAGGTAAGATGACTTTGGATGGACGTGACCATCAGACTTGTAAAAATAAACATAAATAAAACCAGCTAAGATGAGACTGATTTTATAGACATCACATTTAAGTGATGTTTATATCTAGATTATTCATTATTCGGCTCAAATATAAAGTGAGGTTCCAATGTTTCTAAATAGAAATGTGTCCGTTTTACTCCTTTTCTTTAGTGATTTGATAATGATCAATGTAAACATTTGCCAAAACACATTTCATGTATTTTTGGGAAAGCGCATTGTAAACTAGTTAGTATTTTTAATTTAAAAATGTTCAATACAAATGTATTTTTAATGATTTTTTTTTTTTAACCATGTTCTTGTCTTTCTCTTTTGTTGTTCAGATGATGTTCTTGGTCTTCAGCCTCCTCGGTGCATTTCTACAAGTCAACTGCCACAATCCCCAGAGTCACTGGACTCTGCTGCCCAACAGTACGTAGGATTATTAAACACTGATTTGTATAAAAACGCTTTTACTTGAAGCGTTACCAGAATGTTCAAATTTTGGAACAGGTGGTGGCTTTCTAACTAACGAAGCACATGAAATTATTTTTCTTTTGGTTTTCATTTTTGAAAAAGTAAATTAAATCCATACGTGGTGAGAAAATATCCTTTCTTAAAATGACCACAGTGGTTTATATACTGGTCCTGCTAATACCCTCTGTGCATCTTTCAGCTGTATGCTGATGATACAGTTGTGTAGTTGTAAAGATATCACATCACATCTCATCATTTTGGGGCAGCTGTGGCTGAGTAGTTAGAGCAATCATCCTCCAATACAAGAGTTGGGGGTCCGATTCCACCAGCAGTCACATGCCAAAGTATCCCTTGACAAGACACTGAACCCCTCATTGCCTCCAATATGTATCCCATCGGTGTATGAATGTGAAAAAGCACTGATTATTCTTTGTATAGATCTAGTAGAGTGCTGTATGAATGGGTAAATGAGGACACAGATTGTAAAGAGCTTAGAGTGTCTTGATAAGATAGAAAGGTGCTATGTAAGTACAGTCCATTTACCATTTATCATGACTTTGTCCCCTGGTAGTTCTGGTGCTGCAGGTGGATGGTACTTTGGGTCAACACCCGTTGAGCTGCCTAGCAGAGGATCTTCTCAAACGGGACAGTCATACTCAAGAGATTTTTTGGAGGAGGAATGGCATTGAAGAGGCACAGAGGGGCAACTTGTACAAGGTACAATTAGTGGAAAGTTTGGGAGGGGGCAACTACACCTGCCATCATGTGGACGGAACGCTCCTCAATCACACTGAGGTCCTGATCCTGCAGGACGAGAGCAAGAGGAGGAGGATCCTTGTGAAAACCAAGCAAGGTGCAGATTTGATCAGTGTACTCTGGTTTTTTTTGTTTGTTTGTTTTTTTAACTGGTTTCACTATTAAAATTATCTCTTAATCTTTGACTTTTTTCTTTAGAAGAATTTCTAAAATGCTCTACTAAGAATTATAACGGAGAGTTCCACTGTTCCTGGACGTGGCACAGCAGTCGAGTTGGCAGAGTAGCGTTTATCAAAGCTCGACGGTAAGATCTCGCATTCCTCTGTTTCGTGCTTCTTTCCCTGTTCAGTGCATCTGAAGTGTGGTTGTTGTTGCCACTCAGTGTTTCTGATGACAATGGCATCCAGTGCTCTGTGGATGGTAGTGGCCAACACTGGATGTGCACCTCAGCTCGTGGGAACTTCAGCTGCTCCGTGGATGATAGTGGGAGCGGAGTTTCTTGCCGGGATGAGCAGCACTGCCCATTCGCTGAGGAGAACCAGCCGATCCACATGACGGTCTACGTGAGGACCGACCACTTTCTAATGGAAATTTACTCTAAACTCTTTTTCCTGTCAGAAATAGGTGAGACATCTTCTGAGGGAACGTTTCATCTTTAACTGTGCTCAAAAGAAAGCTGATATTTTAGCTCACTTTGCGCTGTGTTTGCAGTAAAACCTGACAAGGTGAGGATTGGCAAAGTCAACACAACAGTGGTGGAGTGGAGTTACCCAAGCTCCTGGAACATGCCCTATTCGTACTTTCCCCTCACTTTCCAAATTTTCCAGGTCAAAGGAAATTGTGGGAAGTTTGAAAATCCATGTGTGGGTTCAAAATCTTCCAAGGTAAAAAAGAATTACAAGACATAGGTTCAAAAAGGCCAAATCAGACAGAACTGCACTGAATTGTGTAAAATAGTGTCAGGGTCGGTGTTAGTTGGTGTAGTTTTTGTTTATTCGCCTGTCATAGCTGTAACTTTCCCGCTTTGCTGTGTTGCCTCTGGTCTATTTAGTCACTCTGCTTTCATGATGTAATCAGATGCATCATTAACGCCCATGCAGCGCGCAGCTCTCCATGTGCTTCCATGTGCTTTTCTCTGAAGATTTTATAACAGTCATGTCAGGCTTTTTTGTTTTGTTTGATAAAAATTGTTTCATTTTAGAGCTTCTCGTGTCTGTCTACCTTTTGTGGCCTAATCCTACTGAGAGCTGTGACAGAAAGCCCACTAATTTGATCATATTTGTATCCATTCGTAAATGTGCATAACTTTAAAGATGGGGTGTGTTTATTTCCCAGGCTTTAACCCTCCACTCCACAGACATATGCCAGTTTAAAGTGAAGCACAAAGTGAAAGCTGTTTGTGTCCGAGCAAAGGATGCTCTCTATGACTCAGAATGGAGCGAGTGGAGCCATGTCAGGTCGGTGCCTCATGGGATATTTACCAGTAATTATCAGTGTTTTCCCATTTGCTGCCTGTCACTTGACCTTCCTCCAACCAGAGAGCTCACACCGTCCATACTCTCTGCAAGACTGTAATGCTTTACAGGCACTTCTGCTTTTGCTCTTTGTGTTTTTTTTCTTCTGTTAATTGTGGCTTCTACGTAGATATGAAGCTAAAATGACTGATGAGTCCATGATTATTTCATCAAAATGTCTCTGTTACAGGTTGAAGCGAACTGTGAAACGCAAGAAGTACAAACAGCATTAAAAAATGCATAAAGGAAGAAATTGATTCATCCCTGGAACCTTGGTGCTGGACTTGAAATTGTATCTATTTTATTTATCTTTATTTAACAAACGTGGTGTTTTTATTATATAACTTATTGGAATGTCAATAAAAAAAACATTTCAACACTGTTGTGTTTCCTGTCTAACGGCATTGTTGTTCATTTTTTCAGCTTTTTTCCTCGTATTTGAAAGTTTTGTCCCCATTTTTTCTTTTTTTTTTTTTATTATTTTTGTCATTGTTTCATAACTATTTAAATCTTGGAGGAGGTTTGCAGTGTGCAGCCATGTAGTAGCCTATTTTACTTATCGGGGGGGGGGATTCATTGCTATGATCTTTTCCAGGTTTTAAAATGATTGAAATCTTACCTCAAGTGTATAAAAAATGTTTGAACATGTGTATGGTTTTCATTCAACATGAAATTGAGAATTATGGTGAGACTGTTAAAACTCAGTGCTCACATTTGCTGATAATCAGCTATTCAATGCATTTGATTAGCAGCACCTGGCTGATACTCTCCTAAATGGATTGGAAGGTAAATGGAGAATAGCTTCTCTGTTTTGGCTTTGTAAATTATGATACAGAAGAATCTGATGCATGGTTTATTTTTTTACATATGGTTTTATTTGAATATTTTTTGAAACTTAGAATTATCCTCATGTCCTGATACGTAAACTACTGGAACTGAAAGAAGCTGTACATTTCTTCTCCCCCCCCCCTCCCCCCCGTGACATGAGAGACAGAGCTGTCCTTTGTGTAGACAACAGAAACATTAGGAGTTGTTTCAGTTTTACCAGAGTTTCTACAGATCAGGGTTTTATCTTATTCCAGATCAGATGAGAATGTAACTTTTCCCCCCCTTTTATTTAAGAAACTCTCCACATTTCTTTGACCGAAACAGAGCACCCTGTTACACTTTGATCTATATCTGTTGTGTTCAACAGCAGACACTTTTTGTGCTTTTTATTTTTTTTTTCTGCATGTCATATGACCTCAATATGCAGAACCAAGCCATAACGTCAGGACCTGCCACTCCATTCAGTTAGTTTATGTTAAACCCAGCATTAGAGCAGCAGGAAATTTACAGACAGAAGCAGATACATAATAAAGCCAATAATGTTCATGACGTAAAATAAAAAAACTTCACGCTAATGAATATAAAGTAATATAAAAACTGAACTTGAACGGAGTTCCTCAAACAGCCCAGCTCACACATAAAAGCCGCTTTGTTAGTAGATTTATTGATCTTACTGAAGGACGCTTGCCTTTAAATCATCCATCTATCCATTATCTTTGCCCACTTCTTCCTTTTTGGATTGTGAGGGCCACTGGTGCCCAACTGCTCATATCCAGCAGTCACTGTGCGAGAGGCGGGGGACACCCTGGACAGGTCTCCAGTCCATCACAGGGACACATAAGCCCTTTCTTCACTGTGACAGCGCGGGTCAAATTTGCTCAGTTGACCACGGTTTTGAACGCTTTTCCACTAGTACTTTGTACCAGTTTCACCCCCCTTTTTTTGTCCCTTCTTCTCAAGTGGGCCAAGCGAGTCAAGCCGGCATAAAAACGTGACGTCAGAACACTGTCGGTCACTGATTGGTCAGGGGGAGGAGTCACTGGATCTTTCAGAAAACTTTTCACCGATCCGCCATTTGCAATTACTCAGAACTCAGAGCAGCGGTAGGACCTATTTTTAATATTTTAAAAACAATGACAACACCTTGTTCTAATGCTGAAGTGCAGGCGTTGTTTGTGTTTAGTGACCGATGAAGTGAAGTGAAGATTAAAAATAAATAAATGGTGCCGGCTTTATCATGAAATCCTGTTTTCACTTTGGCTTTATAAATAATCTGTTAATTAACGTTAACGCAGCTGAAAAATCATAAAAAGACAAAAATAATGGATCTCTCAGGAATATTTCCCTCAAATTTGTTTAAAGAAGCGATACAGCCTTTAGTTCAACTTTATTCTAACCCACAGATGTACAAATCACAAAACAAAAACTATGCTTTAAATCACTAAAACAAAATAATGAGTATACAAGAAACAAAACCACATATCTATACTGAACAATAAAAGTAGACACAATGAGTGCAAATACATCAAATGATGAAGAAAATATAGAATTTTAAATATGGATGTTTTTGAAGAAACTGGTTCATCAGAGAATTTATTTAATTCAGTTTATTTATATAGCGCCAAATCACAACAGGAGTCATCTCAGGGCACTGAACAGAAACATTCATATATAAAAATAAGTTAACAGAAACATTCGTATTTATAAAGAATAATTTAACATTATTTATCTGAGGAGCAGACTGCTTTGAGTTTAACTTCATCGCAGAACTCTCTTAATGGTGAACTAAAGTTAATTAAAAATTCATTAGAAGGATTTATATATAGATTGTTTAATTTGGTCATTTTGATAATCTGTATTCTTCTTAATTTACCAGAAACTTAAAAATAAATTCTCACCCTGTATATGAAATCTGTTTCAAGTTCAAGTCAGTCTAAACCGTATTTAATCACAACCTGGTGGTAAGGCGAGTTGGAATCTGGATCCACCTACAGAACTGGTCACAATGGTCACAATGGAAATGTGACGTGTACCAGCTGATCTGAGCTGAGCCAATCCACGCTGTCACAATGGAAAAGTAGTAATAGAGACAAGAACGTGCTGTACCAGTCTAACATACTTCTCTGCCACTCTAAATTTCCTCATGAAATACCACACCTCCTCCCTCGGCACTGTCATATGCTTTTACTAAATCCATAAAGACACAATGGAGTTCTTTCTGACCCTCTCTGTACTTCTCCATCAGCATCCTCAAAGCAAAGATGGCATCAGTGGTGCTCTTTCTCTGCATGAAACCATACTGCTGCTCACAAATAGCCACCTCTTATCTAAGTCTTGCTTCCACAACTCTCTCCCAGATCTTCATCGTGTGGCTCATCAACTTAATTCCCATGTAGTTGCTACAACTCTGTACATAACCCTTGTTCTTAAAAATGGGCACCAGCACACTTCTTCTCCATTCCTCAGGCATTTTCCCACCCTCAAATATGTCATTGAATATTTTAGCCAAAAACCTCATTGCCATCTCTCCAAGACATTTCCAAACCTCCACTGGTCAGGTCCTACTGCCTTATTCTTCTTCATTCTTTTCAGAGCTTTCTGAACTTCACTCTTACCTTCCCCACTTCCGGCTCCACAATTTCTTTGATCTCTACTCTTCTTTTTCTTTCATTATCTTCGTTCATTAGCTCCTTCAAATACTCCTTCCAGCATTCTGTTTTGTTCTCCTTACTCATTGGAACATTCCCATTCATATCTAAATACGCTAAAACCGGTAAACTCCCCATGCCGTCTCTCTTTCTGTCGAACGTCCGCTCGTTGGACAACAAGATGGATTTACTTCGTCTGAGAGCGGGCGCCTCAGAAGAGATGAAGAAGTGTGCAGTGCTTTGCCTCACGGAAACATGGATTACAAGCGAAACGCCGGACACAGTCTTCCAGCTGGATGACAGACTTTTTTTTCGATCGGACCGCTGCAGTGAGCTAACGGGGAAATCACGGGGAGGCGGAGTGTGCATTTACGTGAGTAAAAGTTGGTCCGTGAACTGTACTGTTGTAAATAGCTCATGCTCGAAGGCTTTGGAGCAAATAACAGTGAAATGTCAGCCACATTATCTACCCCGAGAGTTCATGGTGACTTTCATCTCTGTCGTTTACATTCCTCCGGACGCTAATGCTAATGAATCACTACAGGAGCTTCATGATATCATCAGCTCGCTGCAGAACAAACACCCCGAGGCTCTTTACGTGGTAGCCGGAGACTTTAACCACGTGAATCTAAAGGACTGTCTCCCAAGCTTTAATCAGCATGTGGCGATTCCGACACGTGGAGACAAGACGCTGGACCGTGTTTACACGAACGTAAAAGATGCATACAAAGCCGAACCCCGCCCCCACCTAGGACTGTCAGACCACATCTCAATCTTCCTGGCTCCTGCTTACATGCCCCCGCTGAGACGCTCCAGACCGGTACAAAAGAAAGTTAAATGCTGGATCCAGGACAGTGGCCCCATACTGAGAGATTGTTTTGATCGAACAGACTGGCAGGTTTTCAGAGAAGCTGCTGAAAATGGAGGTTCGCTTGATCTTGACCAATACACATCCTCAGTACTGGGTTACATTAGTACATGTACTGACACAGTCTCCACTATCAGAAATGTTAAAAGCTACCCAAACAGAAAACCTTGGCTGAATGCAGAGGTGCGTACCCTGCTGGAAGCCAGGAACACTGCCTTCAGGTCTGAAAACTCAGAGGAGCTGAGTAGGACAAGAAAAGAGCTGGTTGCTGGTATTAAGAGGGCCAAGGCCACATATGCAAAGAGGATCGAGGGTCAATTCATCTCACAAGACCCTCGGAGCATGTGGAGGGGCATTAAGTGCATAACAGATTATAAAGGAAGGAGTGAACAATGCCCCAAAGACCCATCTCTGCCTGATGCCCTCAACAAGTTCTATGCACGCTTTGAAGACCCGAACAGACCACCCAGCACCAGACTCACCTCACCACCAGATTAGGAGCATCTCAGCGTGACCTCAGCAAAAGTAAGGAGTACCTTCAGGAGGATTAATCCGCACAAGGCAACTGGCCCAGACAACATCCCTGGAAAAGTGTTGAAGGAATGTGTTGATCAGCTCTGTGAGGTGCTGGCAGACATCTTTAACACCTCACTTACCCTGGAGACAGTTCCCACCTGCCTGAAGACTGCCACCATCATCCCAGTCCCAAAAAGCTCTACAGTGACTGGTCTGAATGACTATCGGCCAGTGGCCCTCACCCCGATAGTCGCTAAATGCTTTGAAAAACTGGTCCTGACTCGCATCAAAACAACCATCAACATCAACGAGGACCCTCAACAGTATGCATACCGTGAGAACCGATCAACAGAGGATGCAATCTCCTCTGTGG